GACTTTTAAGAGGAAGTGCAATGTTCAAGAAACATAACTCTACCTTGCTTCATGTTTTAATTATATCCCTTAAGTTAAAAATGCTTATTCCAAACTATCACTGAATCTACATCAACTTGAACGACTCGAATTTTCCAATGTGTCAAAGAACCATAACTCCATTCCTTAGTTTTTAGCTCACCTGTCACAAAGTGACAGGTCAAGCTTTTGTGATCCCTTTTCGTCCGGCCCTAAACTTTTACTTTAAATGACATCTCCTCATAAACCACTACACTAATTTCATCCAAACTTCACAAGAATGTTCCTTTGGCTGTCACCTTTAAAAATTGTGCAAAGAATTTAATTCTATGCTGAACTCTGGTTGCCATGGGAACCGAAAGAAAAAAAACTTTAAATATCATCTTTAAAAAAACCCTAAGAGCTAGAGCTTAGATATTTGGCTTGAAACATCCTTTAGTGAGTGTCTACCAAGTTTTTTTAAATAAAAGCCATGGGGTCAAAATTGGCCCCGCCCCAGGGGTCATTGATTTTCCCTATGTGCATATAGTAAAAACTTTATAAAATCTTCTTTTAAAGAACCCAAAGAGCTAGAGCTAAGATATTAAGCATGAAACATCATCTAATGAGTGTTTACCAAGTTTGTTCAAATAAAAGGCCCGGGGTCAAAATTGGTCCTGCCCAGGGGGTCATTAATTTTCTTTAAATGCATATAGTAAAAACTTAAAAAAAATCTTCTTTTAAAGAACTAAAAGAGCTAGAGCTAAGATATTTAGCATGAAATATCTTCTAGTGAGTGTTTACAAAGATTGTTAAAATGAAAGCCCTGGGGTCAAAATTGGTCCTGCCCCAGGAGGTCATTAATTTTCTTTAAATGCAAATAGTAAAAACTTAAAAATCTTCTTTAAAGAACCCAAAGAGCTAGAGCTAAGATATTTAGCATGAACATCTTCTAATGAGTGTCTACCAAGTTTGTTCAAATAAAAGCCCCGGGTCAAAATTGGCCCTGCCCCAGGGGATCATTGTTTTTCCCTATATGCATATAGTAAAAACTTCAAAAATCTTTTTTAAAGAACCCAAATAGCTAGAGTTTATATTATAAGTTGAAACATCTTCTAGTGAGTGTCTACAAAGTTTGTTCAAATAAAAGCCCTGGGGTCAAAACTGGCCCTGCGCCAGGGTTGTCATTGTTTTTAAACAGTATGTGTTAGTAAAAACTTAAAAAATCTTCTTTAAAAAAACCCAATAAACTAGAGCTTTGATGTTTAGCATGAATCATCTTCTTATGGATTCTTCCAAGTTTGTTCAAATAAAAGCCCTTGGATTAAAACTGGCCCTGCAGGGTGGGGGGGGGGGGGGTATATACAGGTGAGCAACCTCAGAGCCATCATGGCCCTCTTATTTAATTATCTACCTTTATTATACATGTACTTAATTATGCTTGTCCAGAGAAATACTGGAAAAGAGTTGATGAAATTTGATTCAACTTTTACAAAGCGAAAATAATCAAGTGAAGGAAAGTGTTTTTTCAAAGAACCCTTATTTTTGTGTCGCCTTGAAAAGGTGACATAATAGGGGTTACTTTTGTCGGCGGCGTCTGTGTCGTTGTCGGCGTCCCCTAAAGCTTGTCCGGAGCATAACTCAGTCACTATAGGTCTGATTGACTTCAAACTTTAACCCGAAGTGCAGTGTTCAAGGACCGGTACTCTGCAGTTCTTATTTTTTGAGTTATTGCCCTATGTGTGTTAATTTTGATACTTTAATTTTGTCCGGGCCATTTCTCTTCAACAAAAAAAGCTATGGACTTGATACTTCATAGGATGATAGATCTCATTAAGAAAAAGTGCAGTGCACAAGAACAGTACACTGTACTTCCTAATTTTTGAGTTATTGCCCTTTGTTAATTTTCATATTTTATTTTTTGTCCGGGCCATTTCTCCTAATGAATAAAAGCCATGGACTTGAAACTTCATAGGATGATAGGTCTCATTAAGAAGAAGTGCAGTGCACAAGAACTGTTACTCTGCATTTCTTATTTTTTGAGTTATTGCCCTTTGTTTATTTTCATACTTTAATTTTGTCCGGGCCATTTCTCCTTAAGTATAAAAGCTATGGACTTGAAACTTCATAGGATGATAGATCTCATTAAGAAGAAGTGCAGTGCACAAGAACTGGTACTCTGCATTTCTTATTTTTTGAGTTATTGCCCATTGTTGATTTTCTTTCTTTATTTTTGTCCTGGTCATTTCTCCTCAAGTATGAAAGCTATGGACTTGAACCATCATAGTATGATAGATCTTATTGATAAGAAGTGCAGTGTTCAGAAACTGCTGCTCTGAACTTATTATTAGTCCCCTACCGGTTTACCGGAGGGGACTTTAGGTTTACCCTCCGTCCGTCTGTCCGTCCGTCTGTCAGTCCGTCCGTCCACAAAACTGGATCCCGCAATAACTTGAAAAGTAGTGAAAATATTTTTATGAAACTTGGTATATGGATAGATGGCAGTATGGAGATTATGCACGTCTTTTTCTTTTCTTCCTATGTTGAAAATTCTGGTTGCTATGGCAACAAATAGGCTGAAAATATGGCAAATTTTACACATAAACTGGATCCAGTGATAACACAAAAAGTACTGGAAATATTTTTATGAAACTTGACATATGGGTAGATGGCAGTCTTGAGATTATGCACGTTTTTTATTCTTTTCTTCCTATATTGAAAATTCTGGTTGCTATGGTAACAAATAGGCTGAAAATATGGCAAATTTTACACATAAACTGGATCCAGTGATAAAGCAAAAAGTACTGGAAATATTTTTATGAAACTTGACATATGGGTAGATGGCAGTCTTGAGATTATGCACGTCTTTTTCTTTTCTTTCTATGTTGAAAATTCTGGTTGCTATGGCAACACATAGACTGAAAATATGGCAAATTTTACACATAAATTAAATCCAGTGATAACTCAAAAAGTACTGGAAATATTTTTATGAAACTTGACATATGGGTAGATGGCAGTCTTGAGGTTATGCATGTCTTATCTGTTCTTCCTATATTGAAAAAATATCAGTTGCCTTGGCAACAAATAGGCTTAAAACATGGCAAATATAACAATATTTGTGATTAGTCAAAAAGAGCTGAAATTTTTTTATGAAATTGCATCTTTAATACAAGAGTTATCTCCTATTTAAGAATTTTGCTTTTAAAATGTTATATTTTGGTAACAGGGATGTTTCAAATATTAACTTTAGAGTGTCCTTCAGTCCGTCTGTCTGTCTGTTCATAAAAACTGTTTCCTGTGATCACTTTTAAAGAACTTTTCCAACAAATTTCCTTAAAATAGAGAAAAATTGAAACATTAGTGAATGGCCCTTCAGAATGTTGATGGGGTTCTAACCGGTAGGGGACTTATGGATTGCTTGCAATACTATGATAATTGCTTGTTTTTTTAGTTATTGCCCTTTGTTATTTTTCATATTTCATTTTTGTCCTGGCCATTTCTCCTAAACTACATTGTTCACAAGGCGACACATCCGACTCGCGGAGTTCTAGTTTCTAGCTTAATTTTACAATTATCATCTCTTAAAATACATGTACAACAACTTTTAAAATAATGGTTGTCTGGAGTAAATCTTTTCAATGATATCACACTCAAACTAAATACAGTTGTAGAGACTAGTGAGCAGAAGTCTTGTGTCAAATAACCAAAATTCTACATTACTTAGTTTTTGAATTATCTCCGTATATATTTCATGATACTGTTCTGAGAGAGGATTAAAATATTGAAGGAATTTGATTGAAACTTTATAAACGTTATACAGTGAAAGAGATTAGCATGAGAATTGCAGTAAACAAAGGCCATTATAAGTTCTAATGACATGGTCACATTCATATAATGTGATGCAAAAAATATTGACCATTTGAGTGTTTACTTGATACTGATACAAAAAATTTGATATATATCACAATTGATTATTTTTTCATAGCTTTGTCTCCCTTTATAATGTCATGTGTTAAAATAGTCAAGCTTGCAGTTTCCTCTGGTAGCTCTAATTTCACTTGTTGCTCTTGTCAAAAAAGGCCAATAACGGTTTATGATCGACCTACACGTACATGTAACCTAAATATTATATTTGAACATGTGTGTCATAGAATAATTGTATCAACTACTGTTCATTTACTGAATTGTGCACTTTATATTTATCAACCGGCAACAACCTTCACTCATTGAATTATCTGCCCCGAAATAGAAAAAATAGTTATTTGATCCTTCATACGTCCCAACTGGCAAGTGCCTTCAGCACTTTGATTTGTTTATGTATAATGAGTCTGGTGTTATTTGAAGTTGGGAGTTAAATAATGTATTAGCAATGTAGAGTGTTTATAGACCTTTCCTTTGTGAATAGTTTATACATGTTTAAACGGCATGTAGACTGTCCAATGTTATAATTTTTCTATAACTTGATCAGTGTTGTAAATAATTTCATTTTTTTCAAAAAGAATGCATATCCTGAACAAAAATTGAAAAAAAATACCATTTTTTTCTTGTAAATAACGAATTAAATCAACATAAATTGTTTGTTTGTTTCATTTTACGCCTTTTTCCAACAGTATTTCAGTAAATATAGGCGGGGTAGTTTCAAAACCATCGTTCCTGGAGAGTTACACCAGTACTAGATTACCTTCCTCCGTGCAAAACTACCAAAACATCTCCTGGGGATCGAACCCACGCCAGAGAGGTAACTGGATTAGAAGTAATTGACTCTAACTCCTCAACCACGGAGGCGGTTACAACAACATAAGTTTCCATATTTTTGTATGAAAAATGTACATAGAAAGTCCCCCTTTGACTTGTTATGTTCCTCCAAATCAACTCGTTATCTTATCTTAATGTACCATTGCTAATACTGTCAAATATTCCAGGTTAGATTTAAGGTAGCCTTTAGAAATAAACTCCAAGGTCTGTAAATAAAAGTTTTCTGTAAAATAATAACACAAATTTACCATTTCAGCCATTGGAGATTTCTTCTTTAACTGCTTCTCAATTTCCAATTGCATATGTGCCATAGATCCGGCCTGTATTAGAAATACAATTATCTTTACACATCATTCTAAATTATTAAAGAAAATATGTGCAGAAACAAGATTGGTGTGATCATCAAAGTTTTTTTTTTGTAATTAACGTTAGATTTAAAATAATGTACTGAAAACTTTTATAAGAAATAGCTAAATATTCAAGCCATGTGCCTTAAAATTTACCGATTTCAATAATTTTCACTACAATAATTAATCAAGATCTGAAAGTAGTGTCTGTGTTGTTGTTTTTTTTTACAATTTTTAATAATATCATAAAATATAATGTATTTCGAATTTACACATGGGAAAGTTTTGAAGTCAAAATTAACTATACAGATAAATAATTATGTTGTAAAACAAAATGTACAAAATTGTCATATAGCATTTTATGCACTAGAACATGAGATTAATCATACCATTTCTCATTTAAAATCCACCTTACAACATGTTACCAATAAACATAAGGTTTTGTTGGGTTTTTTTTTAATTAAAGTGTCAACTTGAAGATACAGATAAGGTTTCATTCACTAAAGAAAAAAACTATATAAGACAGTTATACTGACAGCCAGGAAAAAAGTGAATATTTGATAACATAATTGAACATTTTTTTCTCACAACAAAATCTAATCGTGTATAAACCAACATTGATTTTCAGAGGTAAAAGTCTAAACCCAGATTTGTAATGTCGCTGTTGATCCAATAAAATTGCCTGTAAGTTTGTATGTAATGCCACTACTCCTGATATACTTTCTTGTATAGATGTAATAATGTACACATGGACTCGGTAAGGTAAACATAATGATTAACCTATGGGTGTAAAATCCCCTTTGTAAGTGTACAGTGCCAAACATTGAGAAAAACAGTGCAAACTTTGAGATTAAGAATGGACAATAAGCGACATTTGACCAAGTTAACAGAATAGTTCTTAATTGCTCGTCTTTTGGATAAAATATGTTTACAAAAACGGCAATTAAAGCAAAACTAAATAATAGATCAGGATCAGTTAATCAACATCGTATATGGCTTTACATGATCCGGTTTGCTATCTACACAAGATCCATTGTTAAAGGAATAACATTATTCTTAGTCTACATTTTATAGAACAAAGAAGTTAAAAGACATTAACATGTTGAAAGGAAATGACCTTAATTTTGACATCTTTACAGAAAGATTCATTGAAATATTTCATTTGATGTTTTGATATTTCTTGGGATCTCACAATCCTGTCAAGGGATAGAGAACACTTTCAAGGGCACATACTGTGTTACTAAAGTACTTATAAATAGGCATCCTATAAGGCAAGACAAGAATTAATCTACTGTGATTCATAAATTGTTAAATGACACTTCTTTCCTCTAGTGTTGGAGTGAAATCAACAAACCTGTGCAAGAGCCATTTTAGCCTCATTTTGTAGTTGCTCTTGTCTGGAATGAAAGTCTTCACTCTTTTCTTTTTTATCACCAGGTTTTAATCTTGGTGGACTTGACCTCTGTATAGACGTTGTTGGTTGGGTAGGGTTATTTAAATCAGTTACAGTACTCAAATTATTCTGGAACAAAAAATAAATACATTGCATTATTATTATTATTATTGCAGTTTCTAAATATTCCACACCAAAAAAATTAAATTAATCTTTCAGAGAACAGAAACTAATCATTTAACATTAACGAGGTTGTCCTATCAGCGATTCACAGGAAATTAATTTCAAAAATGATATTCTTTCCCAATCTCAATAAGCAAACAAAATTGACAAGTTTGATCATGGGAAGAGCGAGTTTCTTCAAATTCCACTTTTCTGTTTAAAGCAAAAGATGTAATCTTAATTCTCTATTTTATGCATAAAAACAGGGGCAAAGAAAACTCTGGTGGAAATGGAAGGCAACTTGGCTATGAGTCTGTATCAGGCTTTCATTAACATAAGTTAAAGCAATTTTACACAGCAATATGAACATTACAGACCAACTGCATTACAAACACATTGTCCATGGGGTTACTAACAACCTTTGACTATTTCTAGCATACAGAGGACAATAAGGAATGAAATAATGATAAATGGAATAAAATATAAAAGATTCAGATGAGTTGTAATTCCTAAAGATGGTCAGCAAAATATTTTTATCAACTTCTCTTTTCTTATCTTCATATAAAATAAAGTTGAATAACAATTGTAATTATATGTTAAAATCAATGAATAAGCAAGGTAAAATCTTTGATGAAAATCAGATTTATCCTGATAAGTATGTGATAAAGAAAGTCAAAAAATTACAAGTAGCCAAGTTTTTTAATTTAACAGTACACAGTGACCTAGATTGTAATTTATTTCTGCTGACAGAATAGTTTTCTGTTTAAACAATTTTCATCCAACTTTAATAAATTCAATTATGTGCGAAAGAACTTGATCATGCTTAAAATAAAATTCAATTGCTTGGGTACTACCAGATTATTCTCTGGTTGTCCCATTCAATCCTGAATTTCAGGAAACTACAAAATAATTACATACTTGCTACAATGTATTAATAACAACCAGCACAAGTATTTTTCCTAATATAGCATTTTTTTGCCCAATGCAATTAAAATTGGCATTTTAGTGTTGTTAATTCTAACTGAATAAAATTAAATTGAGATCAGAGATAGGACTTTGGGTTCAAGCTATTTTTAACTAGTTTCTTTTGAATGAATGAGAAAAAAAACTTTTTTCAAGCAAAGGTATGTGCATTTATAAAATGTAGAACAAATTGTTAGGGAAACCAGATACAGCACAACTTAGTGATGAGAGCTTCATGTTCCTTCCTAGATGGCTTAGTAAGTTTCAGTCAAAACTTCAGGATATGTTCTAACACTAAAGTTAAATGACATATACTTACATCCGAATCAACAAGGTTACTGACTTTCTTCATGAGTTTCACATTGTCATGGATTTCATGTTGCCTTGGAGACAGCCTTTCGTTGTCAGTGTCACCTGGTGACTCATTCATAAAACATATCTATATAAAGAATATAACATCATATTGTTATATACAAGATAAATTGTCACAATGGTGAGACAATAAATATATCTGAAAAGTAATCCCTTGGAAGCATTAAAAACAGCAACACTGCCACTGACTTAAGCTAAAACAAATTCAGTTCAATAAATCTTTTTTATTACATTTATGCAAAAATGATTGAAAAATGAAGATTAACAATTAAGTGAAACATTTTATGTACCCCTTCTAATGTATATTATTGTATAATTAAATAGATGTTCATTGTAATATAGTTGTAATTTTCTTACATTTGTTTTTAATAATAATGTGTAAGCTGGGTTTCATTTAAAACTCATATTATTGTTTGATTTGATTTCCCATTATCATCACATTAAGAAACAATTTCATGTTTTCTCCATTTTTCTAATTTAATATAAATAGCTAAATTAAAAACCTTTTAAAAATAACACTTAATCAAATATGACCTCCACCTTCAAGAAAGCTGAGCAATCCATTAGAGGTCATACAATAATAAAATACAACAACTTTTGTCATTGATTTTCTTCATTTTTTTGTCATGACATTTAACAAACAGATGAAATGGTAAATAGAAGTCATTCTTATAAACTCTTGTCAACTCCTAAAATTGAAAGTCAAGAAAAGAAAATCATTGAAAAAGTTAAAATGATGTAATGTTTTAACATTTACTTTCTTTTCGTATAATGGGACTATTTCAATATGTCTAAAATATTTAATTAAAGATGATAGTTGTACAGCTTTCTTTCGGTATTATATTAAACCTTCGTTTTTTTGTAAACCTGTTTTTTATTGGTCTTTTAATTCTTCGTTTTTATTGGTCCGCGTCATTTGTATGATGACGCTTTTAGAATTTCGCGCTACTTCTTCTATTTTTTGTTCGTGTCACAGTTCTGAGATTTGGGACACGAGAAAATGATATAAAAAACTGTGAACATTTCATATGAGATTATAAAATATTTTTTCCACAGTTTTTTTTTTATCTTATAACAACAATTCAGAATGATCGAAAATAATTTATAAACTACTACCTCATGACTAGCGATTCTTTTTCAAAACAAGTTTATGATAATAATCCTAAAAAGAACAAATTAAATTTTAATTTCTTTATGATTCTATTTGCTGATGTGATATATACTTTTATTTTATTTATGTGCCCCAGCTTTATCCGTTCTCATTTTGTGTCGCAAGTAGCTCAAAAAGTATTTGACCAAGTCAGCCATGAAACTTGACAGGAATGTTGATCAGCATGTATAGTTGTGCACCTGGGTATTTTCTCGTGGATTTATTTAGGATTTTTAAAGTTATTGCCCTTGACTTAGAAAAAATTTGCAATTTTCAACTTGTGTTGCACGTTACTCAAAAAGAATTTGACCTAGAGTCATGAAACCTTACAGGAATGTTGCTCAGCATATGAAGTTGTGCACCTTGGGTATCGCTTGTTGATTTATTCTGTTTTGTAAGAGTTATTGTCCTTGACTTAGTAAAAATTTGCAATATTCAACTTGTGTCAAGCGTAGCTCAAAATGTATTTTTAAACCTAAGGTCATGAAACTTAATAGGAATGTTGGTCAGCATATGTAGTTGTGCAATTTGGGTTTTGCTTTTGGATTTATCCAGTTTTTATAGAGTTATAGTCCTTGACTTAGTAAAAACTGTTTCATTATGTATTATTTGTACCTCGAGTGCTTGAGTTAGAGTCAACAAACTTTACAGGAATGATGATCAACATCATTGTGAAGCTATGCACCTGGGATTTTGCATGTGGATTTTTTTCAGTTTTGTTAGAGCTACTGCCCTTGACTTAGTATAGATTTGCAGTTTTCAACTTGTTCATGCATAGCTCAAAAAGTATGTGACCTGTATGCCTGAAAGTTTACAAGAATTTTGGTCTGCATGTGTACTTAAGCACCTTGGGTTTCACTTGTGGATTTATTCAGTTTTTGTAACAACCTTGCCCTTTACTGAGTAAAAGATTATTAGTTTTCAATTTGTGGGACATGTAGCCAAAAATTATTTGACCTAGAGTCATAAGATTGACAAAACAGTGGAGTGTGGGGCCACCCGTGTCCTTTAATGGACACATTTCAAGTTCAGTACTACATTATGCCCATCCATGAGTCAAAATACCTTTGAATATTGACATACATGATAGCTTTCAATTTCATATTCATTTCCCAACATCTTCACATGATGTAAGGAATTTTCTATAATTTTCCTAAAGTGTGTAACTTATAGGTAATACTAATTTGATAAAAAAAAAAGATATTTTTTTCATTTTGGACAGTTTCTTTTCCTTCTCCTAAGGTCTGTCACTGTTTTGCAATGTTCATGAAACAAGACATATTGCTGAACAAAATTAATAAGACATTCACCTGTAGACCACTTTGTAATCTTGACTGAATATTTGGCTTTTTATATGTTATTTCATCATCATCATCATCGTCGTTATCATCAAGACCATCTTCTCCACCCATTGCAAGCTTTTTCCTACTGAAAATATACAGGAATACTCACTTTCAATATAATCCATTAAACTGATAAGGAATCTTTAAAATTTATATTAATGTAAAATGGTTGTATTTTGTTCTTTGTTCAATACACCATGAAAAATCTATAAACCAACTGAAAATACTGTAATGACAACCCTGTGTTGACTTCTTTATTAGTTATGAAATGCTATGATACGAAACACTCTGAAAAAGAGTAAACATATATTTGGAGACTTCTCCCCATAGTTTTAATATATATGACTGAATTGTAAAGTTTGGTATAAATTATATCAAATATATCATATAGACTACAATTATTACATTCTTATAACATGAATATCAATTAAAACGTATTAGTGTTACTCACATTAAAAGGGCATATTAATTTGAAAGTAATTAAACCCTTTTCATTCCATACAATAGTATCAATTGATTTGTCAACACTAATTGTCTCTTGTAAAGCTGATATAATTTACATTTATTACATAATTGATATAAGCAACCCAACATACTGCACACTATTGCACATTTGTAATGTACTTTTTATTGGATGATGGGGACATTCATATTAACTATATAATGGCTGCTGTTAATTTATGAAGTTATTTCATTTTTTCGCAAGAAAAGGAAGTTTGCTGTATTATACATGTTATAAATTCATTAGCACTGATCAGGTTATAAATGCAAATAAGCATTAATATAGGACCATACAACCTGTCAAAAATATTTTTAACAAATTTTTTATACATGTGCACAGAAAAGTAAGTTTTCACTTCTTTATGCATTTGCTACATGACAATGCCTTCTTTAATACTGAATGGTGTTCCAATTTAAACCTTGTGCAAATCAATATAATGTTTTGTCTTGTTTGAATCAATCCAATTAAAACTGCCTTTTTTATTATACGCGGAATCTTGTCCCGATATAACATATTCAATCTACTAGACATTGAATTTCTTCTGATGCAGAGGGACTTTCCGAGTCTGTGTTTGATTCTTCATTTAGAAAATGCCTATAGAAATCAGCATGATATTAATCTATGTAAAAAGTATCAGGCATCAATTTTAATCAGATGACAATTCTGTAAAACTTGACAAGTAATCTGTCTAACTTTTCCCATGTGACAATATCAGGAACCAAACAAATCCTACATTCTCCATCTCCTGATTGTCAGAATGCTGAAACATTTAGTATATCGGTATGAACTTGTCGTATAACGTAGGAAGAACTCACGGATGTTACATACTTTTAATATACAAATACAAACACACATGTGAACGAGTTGAATACCAAAACTGAACTCCCACTCTGACATTTGAGAATAGTATATATAATATCAACCTGTCCTAAGGACATTTTATAATGTATATAAATACACACGTTTTAGAGTTACATATATAAATCATCTTGACATAAGCTAGTCCGTATGCATCTCCTGCACTATAATACTCATAAATCATGTCATGTTCCATAGTGCACATTAAGAAATAAAAACCATAATATATGTATATACATGTTGACTTGTCATTCTTTTTGAATATAGCATGTATGACTAATTAGCCTGTGCAACCAGCTATACGACAATACCTCCATTACTTATAAAAAAATATTTAAAAAAAAAGTATTGAACAAATTATTATTTAATATCAAACATTTCAAACTCGTTCTAACAAAATTATAAAAATCTAAAATCTAAAATCAACTTGACATCTGTTTTACCCTTAAGGTAATATCCGGTCAGAGATGTCCGGTCAGAGATGTTATCTAACGACTTTTGTTACTTTATTTTGAAAAAGAAAAACGCCTTAGGAAACAATATTCGGAAATATTCGCTCAATATATTTTCTTGTCACTTTTTAAAAAGTTTTCGGATACTGCAGTCGGGTAAGTTATAATTTACTTCAACAATTTTGCAATGTTTTTAATAAGTAAAAAAATAATTATTGTTAAATGTAAAGATAATCTTTTCGAAATTTTTAATCAGTTAATATAACTGTTATTCTACAAATAATATTAAAGTGACATAAGGTAAATATTATAGCTTTATAAGTTTTTCAATAAATATTAAATTTCCTTTATTTCATCATAAAAAAATAAAAAAAAATTAATTTCTAGAGATCAAGAAAACATAAAAAACAAACAAATAAGTTAACAATTTTCAAAGAACAAATTATTTTAAGAATATTAATTAGAAAAACTTTAAGGTATAAAATTTAACAGAATTATATGTTTGATAAGAGTAAAAAAAATATTTATATACGAAAAAGTTAAAAAAAAAATATTATAAACAATTGATAATTGATAAAATGTCCAGGTGTTTCATTTCCTGTAAAACGTGTATTGTGCATGCGCATTGATCACTTCCTGTGACAGGTTCAAATCGTTGGTATGTAGCTTTCTTAATTATAATTTTAAATTGACACTCATAATTGTTCATAAATGTTTGATGTTCTTGAAGATTCTTTTAAATTTATATATATGTATTCGATATGTGTAAACGTAGACTTTATACACAAGTTGATAAAGTTATATTCGAATATTTATTGGCACATCTGTAAACGCTGTTCTTGTTTCGTCGTTGTAAAAGAATGTCTTGTTATTGAACAATACAACAAAGTGATGATAGATCTATAATTCTTCATTTATGTAGCAATGTTTTTTGAGTAAAAGATAATTAAATTAACAGTTTGCTGTTGCACGATCCTCGCAAATGTTTATGTGATATTTATTTTGGATATCTCTGTCGTGCACAAATAATTATTTTGATAAGAAGTTGTCATCAGTATTTCTCTGGGTTTTTGTTTTTAAGTTTATATAACACATAGAAAAACACATTCTATTGATAAATGGAAGTTTTTCGGCTTCTCTGGTTGAAGACAGGAACATAAGTTTATTTGATTCCACAATTTTGTTGTTGTTGTTGTTGTTGTTGTTGACGGCTGTAACAGCATAGTTATGTATTTTAAACATCGTAGACGCTTATTTCATATAGTTTTACATTGAAGAAGGTGTTTATGGTTATATCTGCATGGTTTTACATCGAAGAAGGTGTTTATGGTTATATCTGCATGGTTTTACATCGAAGAAGTGTTTATGGTTATATCTGCATGGTTTTACATCGAAGAAGGTGTTTATGGTTATATCTGCATGGTTTTTGTTGTACACAGTTTGACATCGTAGAGGCTGACTGTAATATTTCTAGTCCGGCGGTGTTTGACTGTACCGGCGAATTCGCTCGCACCTCTCTGTCTTGGCTGGACGACAAGTGATCGTTAGACCAATATTTTGCATTTTCGTCCGTTGTCAGATCGGTTAATAGATATTATATACAATAAACATAATTTTGTTTCAGATATATGAACAACAAGACAACTGTCATAAAATGCATAGGATAAGAATTCCAATGAAAGATGTTCTCTAGTGTAAGTATCTTATTTATGTAATACTTGATATTTAAAAATTTTTACTTTTCTAGACATATTTTGTTAGTTTTTAACTAAGCTATTAACTTTAGTTTATTTCGACAATAAGACTTATCCAAATTTTAAACTTTATTTAATGATTGTGCGTTGACAGTTGAAACATGTATGTATACACGTGTTATTCTAATATGAAATAAAGTAAATAATCAATTTGAAACTCATGATTAAGTGCTGTCATTTACTTTGAAATGCATTTTAATTAACTCGATCTATTAATTTAAACATATTAGCGAATAACGATCATTTTAAGCAATAATAAAAAATCTAAGATATATAGTTCTAATAAAAACAAGTTGAAAATTGATTATAAAATGAATACAACCACCAAAATTAAAAAAGGAAAATTTAATATGGTTTTTTAAAAATGTAATTTTTTGTTTTTTTTTATATCGTTTTTTTGGGAAATTTTATTTAGTTTTTTTTTAAAAACCAACAATGCCCGAGGTCATTTTCCCAAAAAATTTGTTATCAATTTTAACAGGAAAAAAACGTTCTATAACAATTTGCTAAACCTTGTTTAAAAACATTTTTAAAAATTTTATTTTGAAACCTTTTTTTTTACTTTGTAAATTTTGGGTTTTCCTTACCGTTTCTTTTATAGGAAAGGAACAATTTTTTTACTAGAAAAAGTTTTAAAAATCTTTATCGGAAACATTTTCATCAGCCATTTAATTTTGAACTGAAAAAGCATTAAAATTATGCTTTGGGATGAGGGGTTGCCCATTTTCTTTTATGGAATTTGAGTCTGATAATTCTGAATCAGTCTGCGATTGCATTTCGTCTGAATGTGCATTACTTTGAGCATTTCATTATTTGAAAATTTGTTGTTGTTGTCGAAGATGTTTCTGTAATTCAGCTAATGGAATATCATCTTCACTATCAGAATTTGACCTTTCTTTTCTTACATTCTTAGCAACTTGGGGGTAATACTGATTCTGGTATTTCTGAAGCATCATCAGTATCGCTATTTTCAGGTGTAACTACAAATGTGGCATTTCTTTTTGGGTCTGCCAGTATTATCTGCTTTTGGTATTGACCAGTCATTAATATTTGCAAGCCTAATTTGTTCTGCATGGACTTTAACTGTTGAATTGTCAAATTGATTTTTTATTATATAAGTTAATGGTGACCTTTTCTCCATAATTCTATAAAAAATGGCTTCCCAATTCACATCTAGTTTGCTTCTCTTACGAAAATTTTTTATAAAATACGGGATCGCCTATTTCAAATTTGATATCTTTTGCGGTCTTATCTGCATAGCTAGCTTGTTCGCGTTTTGCTTTTTTAAGGTTTTTTATAAACAGATAGAGAAAAAGTATTATGTTGTTCTTGTAATGCAATTTTGTGATACTCTTCGCCATGATAGCGCTGCCTTGGTTGTAGCAACAGGTCGATTGGTAATAAGGCCTCACGGTTATATAACAAATAAAATGGACTATGCTTTGAAGTCCTAGAGACATTGAATCTAAGTGCGGCTAGTGTCATGTTAAGATGAATATCCCATTGTTTGAGA